CCTCGGGGAAAGGATGAGCTTCGTCTCACCCCCCACAAATGACCCGAGGCCACCCGTCCCACAGAAAGGTCGCCAGGAGGCGTCCCACAGAAAATCAAGGGGCGCAACAGCTTCTACTGATGCAACTTTTGTGTAAAGCTGTAAAAATAATTTCAAACAGAAACACATCAGGAATTTCTCTTCCCTGGAATCTAAAGCATTATCAGCACCAGCGGGAAGGCCCAGTGGAGACGGGCGGGACAGGGAGGCGAGGCCCGGGCAGCCGGTCTGGTGCGGCGAGCTGCCGCAGGCATGGCTGTGCGTTCCCCGTCTGCGCTGCAGGATGTTTAAGAACTGTCGTACTCTGACACAAAGACGCTGGACGCAGCAGATGCGGGTGGGCATGTGTCTCCGCCGGGCCCCCACTCACGGCGGAGACAGCTCACAGGCTCTGCTTTTTCCTCTTGGTGGCCGGCGGTGGCCGCAGCTCCCCAGGCCCGTGGGCAAACGGGCAGCAGTGCGAAGGCAGGACACAGCCGTCAGGGTGGTGGGTGAAGAACCAGCAGAGGCGGGTTTTGAAAGCCCCAGAGAGCAGCGTGCGCTTGGCTTCCGGGTGCTTCTCCTTCGGCAGCTTCTCTGCCCTCCAGTCGCGAATGTGAACTCTCCCATTCAGAACTGCGGTTTGGGACAGAGAGAAAGACAGCCAGGAAGTCAACCTGCAAAATCCCTTAGTTCCCCAGGATCGCGGGCTGCACTGACACGAGCCCAGAGTCCCCACCAGGACTGGCCAGCCGCTGCCCAGGGCCACGGGGTGCTGAGGTCTCAGCAGTGGCCGGCAGTCCCCCCACCTGTGGGTGAATGGTATGGAGGCACAGGGCCAGCAGGGGAGTGTGGGAGGGGCTGGGAGTCTGCAGGGGAGTGCTGGACACTGGAAGAGGGTGAAGAGCCCTGTCACTGAAGCCCAGGTTCTGGTGACAACATCCAGGGTGTGGCCACAGGACAATGGCTGGAGCAGCATGGGGTCGGACTTGTGGGAAACCAGGCTGAGGACCTGCGGGCACCAGGCTGAGAGCCCTAACAGAGTCCTGATCGGGTAGGCCGGACACTGCCTGCACAGTGGCCCTGCCCCTTAGGACATCTCCACGTCACAAAGAGAAAACGAGCGAGGTAAAGAGAAAACGAGCGAGGTGGGGACAGGTCTTTTCCAGGCAGGCAGACGGCAGAGCAGGTGGTGGTGACCCCCATGGCCAAAGCCCCCCAAATGTAAATGAGGGTGAGGGTCTGGCAGCCCTGTCAGCAGAGGTGGGGGTGGGAGCAGGGAGCAGGGAGCAGGGGCGCTGGGGGGCTGTGGCGGGAGGGGCCTGTGTGGCTGGACGCCCTCAGAGCTGGGCAGCTGGAGGACCCCAGAGGGCAGGGGAGGGGGCTGTGGCCCTGGCAGCTGACCAGGCTGCTCTGAGCTGCCCTGAGCCATTGTCCCTACACGACTGACACCCCCAGAGCTCACGCCTGGCCGTTTCCTCCCGAGAGCCAACAACTCCACGTGAAACGGAGCCAAAGCAACCAAGCCTGTCCCGGTTTTGCCTGGAAGCTGTAAACGCACCCGGAGCCCTGGAAAGGCTCGGGAGAAATACAGGCGGCTCATTGAGAAGCCTGGCCTTGCGACCTGCGAGCTGGGCGTGGGAGTGAAATCGCTGCTCCGCGCTCAGATCGCCTCGCGACGGCAGCGAGACTGTCCCTGCAGACTGACGTTTATTACTTTCCCTTGGAACCAGAGAAAGGAGCCGCAGAGGCGCCCCACTGCGAGGCCACAATGGGGGGATTCATCTTCGCAGGGCCTAGAGGCGCCTCCTTGTCGGCTGTCTCCCCCTGAGCTGGCTCCTGCACTGTCTCCGCCTGGAAGCGTGAGTCAAGGAGCTGTCACTGTGCCCCGGATGCACCCCGGCAGCACCTCCCGGGGCAACACGTGGGGAGCCCGGAAGGCGCCTTGGAGGCAAGGCTCCCAGACTTCTGGCTGTGCACCCCAAAAAGGCGAGGGGCCCCTGATAGCCTGGATGGGCTCATGAGAAATCTGGGGGAGGGACCAAAGCTGGGCCTGGAGCCTGGCCCGCAGAGCTCGTGCGAGGTCCCTCCCGTTGGGACAAGCTGGCTTGCAGAGGCCTCCACAGGCAGTTACGATGGCACCTGGCCACGCCTTTGGAGCACTGCCTGCAGGGTCAGGGGAAAGGGGGCCAGGATTTCTAAGGCCTGGGGAGTAGGTGCCAATGACAGAGTGGTGGCCCTGGAGATGAGAGGCAGGGAGCCCCGAGGCTGGCCAGGATGCCGACATGCTGCCCCGCACCCCCAGGGCACAGAGCTGCTCTCAGGCATGTGCCAGGCCCAACAGGAGGGCCTAACACCCAGCTCCCGTCCCGGGCAGGCCGGTGCCAGGCACCCTCCAGGCAGCTCACAACCAGACCGACCACCCACAGACTCTGCCTGTGCAGAAATGCGTTCCAGATTTTAAGATGGGATTCCAGGAACACACGCTCTACCGAAGTTCACTTCCCCCCCGCGTCTCTGAGCGTTTTCTCCCTCATGTGCCCCTGCTGGGCCTGAACAGCACAGAAAACTTGCCGTCCATCTCCTCCACTGTTTCTGACCGCAGACATCACCTTAACCAGTGTCCTGAGGGGCTGAAGAACCTTCCAGAAAATCCGTATGGACAATTTACTGGGATGGTGCTACGTGTTTCGGAGAACTGGTCTGCTCAGTGTCGACCTGGTGGCCAGCACAGCCCCGCCCCTCGAGGGACACCTCGGACCAGTCACCAGCCTCTCTGAGCTGCGTCCCCATCTTCTAGGCGGTGAGCACAGTGACTGACCACTCAGAGCACGAACGTCCTGACGGAGTGCACAGCTGCCCGTCAACATTATTGGCAACTAGCCACGTTAGTTTACAAAGGGCCCTCATACCTCACAGATGAGCCCCAGCGCCAGTGCATATCTTTTGCATGACTGGAAGCAGACTGTTTACTCGGAACTCAATCCCCAAGCCTCCTACTCGGAAGTGTTTCCAAAAATAAAAGGAACGCCCCCGCCCCACGTGAACTGCACAGAAAAGCAGTCACATGCATGCATATTTATAATGGAAAAAAGATATTATTTCATGAAGCCAACCAGAAAAATGTGTTGGGATAAACCGAAAGAACAGCCCTCCGGCTGCATAAGTGTTTCCACCCACTGGGGCTCTCGACACAGAGCGGACCCAGGCGGCTGTGCCAGCTCAGTGGAGGCAGGAGCCTCAGTTCCAGGAGGCCACCTCCTCCCAGCTCTCCAACCCCCATGGGGGCCTGCCCTCCTGCAGCCACCCCAAATATGGAGGCTCTGGTTCCGTTTACAAGGCTTACCACCCTCAGAGCAGCAGCATTTATCCAAGTGAAATCAAGTTCACGTGAAAACCAAGCTTAGCTCCACATCAGCAACCAAGCCGCCCAAAGGCACTGCAGGGGTGCACACCCAGATCTCACGTGCACACACGGGGGCAGTGCAGGCGTGTACACCAGCTCTCANGACTTTGAAGAAACGAAACTTGCCAAGCAGAGAAGAGGAAGAAGCACTTTCCAGAAGAAACAGCAAATGAAAAGGCTCGGAGTGCAGGGGGCAGTGTCCCTCAAACTCAGTATCCACATCTACCACACGCAGAGCAAGTTAAAACAGCTGCTGGGTCCCCACCTTGGGGCTCCGGTCGATCGGCAGGTCTGCATGGGCCCCGAGGTTCTGATTTCTAACAACCTGGCGAGGCTAATACTGCTTGTCGGACCATGTGCTGAGCAGCTACAGTCTGGAGCACTCTGTCCAATGTGTGAGCCACTAGCCACATGTAGTTATATAAATTACAGGTACACAAAATTAGAAATTCAGTTCCTCGACGGCGGCAGCCACATTTCACGTGGCTGGTGACCAGCAGCTCCCATCCTGGGCAGTGCAGGTCTGGGTGGGACATTTCATCACTGCAGCCCAGGGGTTCAGGGGAGTTTATATACAGATTTTGGAGTGCCACCTTATGGCCCCTCCTCTCCAGGACACCCCCCTCAATTTTCAGGTGTTTTGGCTGCTGAGTCCTGAATTGCACAGGAGCGGTCTGAGAGTCCACAGGGCACAGGACAAGGACCAGGAGAGAGCAGAGTCGCGAGTGCAGCCACCACACGCCATAGGGGAGACAGTCTGGAATTCAAGCCCTGCCAAGTGAGGGGCTGCGGAGAGCCCTGGCTTCCCAAGAAGCCCCAGGAAGGCCACCTTAGAAAGGCCTGTCCCAGGACTGCAAGGACATGGGCTAAGGAATCGGAATACGGGCAAAACAGAAACAGACCTGCCTTAACATGCCTCCGCCAAATCAACGCGGCTCAGTGATAAGTAAATGAGCACCACACAAAACTCAGCACTCTCCATAGGAAGAAGCCAGAACGCAGGACCCACACAGACCACCCACCATTTCCAGCAAACAACAAAAACAACAAAAAAATCCAGTCATCTGAAGAAACAGGAAAATGTGACTCACAGTCAAAAGAAAAAGCAGTCAACAGAAACAAACTCACAGATGACCCAAATGTTGGAACTGGCAGAAAAGGACTTTAAACCTGATGGATGATGGCTAAAGAGATGGAAAATTTCAGAGGAAATTACTTGTAAAAAAAAAAAAAAAAGGCAGCAGAAACCCTAGAAATAAAAACCGTAATATCTGAAATTTAAAAATATGTATCACTGAACAGTATTAACAGCAGATTCGATGCAGTAGAAGGACTAATGAAGTTAGAGACAAGACAAGTCAAGTAGAAATCAGCCAAACTGAGGAAAAAGATTAAAAACAGAGCCTCAGTGCCCTGTGGGATGGTGTCAAGGGATCTAACACACACGTGATCGGAGTCTTCGGAGAAGAGGAGAGACAGAATAGAGGAGAAAAAAATATTTATGGGATATTGACTGATTTTTTTTCCAAATTGGATCAAAAACAGTAACCCAGGGATTTACAAAGTTCAGCAAACCCCAACAAGTAAAAAGAAAATCACACCTTATGCACATTATACAAAACTGCTGAAAAATACACATGAAAAAAAAATTTTTAAATCAGCCAGAGAAGCAGCTCGCACTGCAGACGGGGGCGCGGGGAGGGAGGCGTGATTAACTTCCTCTCAGAAACAC